CCGAAGGGTAAAATATATATATATATTTCCGTTAAGTATATAAGCGTATATATGGTATGTATATATATATATATATATATACATATACTTATGTGTGTGTGTGTGTGTGTGTGTGTGTGTGTGTGTGTGTGTGTGTGTGTGTATATATTTATTTTTATTGGGGGGAGATGTATGGTTAAATCGAAAGGAATGGCAGGCCGATTTACTATTAGCTGGTTAGTCCACGAGATCTCAGGTAAATATAGGTTGAAGTGCAGACTCGCTGTCTACGGAAGAGCGCCAGGAGGACAGTAGCCAGTGATTTATTGGGTGATTCCAATAATGGTGGTTGCCCATAATTTTTATGCTAACAATACAAGAACTGGCATGAACTTTCCGGGGTTCAGCGTGGGACTTTTCTGACTGAGGTAATACTAACCGATGTAAACTGAAGTAGACTGAAATAGATTTGGTACTGAGCGAAGTGAACTAAGGTAAGCTGATTTCGTATCGACGCTCTGTGCTTCCGCGAGATCTCTATTTATATCCCGAAAAAAAGGGCATAGTGCCCTTTGTCTAGATGCAATAGTTAGTTGCAATGTCACGCGAGATTTTTATAGCGTCCTATTGTTGTTAATCTGAAGTGCATCGTAGAGGGGTTTCGAAAAGAAAAGAAATAATTTATTGTAATGTTGTGGAAATAAGTTTACAACAATTATTAAATAATTATTTGATTATTGACTGTAATTAATAATTAATATCTTACTAATTATGAATTACAATTTTTGTATAGCACCTGTTCGGGATAACATTCCGCGGATACTCCGAAATTTATCGGATGCGCGCAGCTTCTCCGCACACATTTACGCGAGTGTGATCGATACGTGATCGATATGTGACAAGAATCTAATCACTTCTTTTTGATGTTCGAATCATGCGAGTAATATCATATTTTTTCTGAATTTTGCTAGTGAGGTGATCGATGCGTTCGTGATTGTGATGTTGCATCGCTGCAACATTATTCGTCGAGGCGGGCAAGATTTCCTTTCGCGAAATGGACTGTCGTCCGCCAATTAGTAAGATTTCCGTATGAGAATCTTACACAGCATCACAATTCAAGATCTGCTGCACTCCGAGTGTTCGACATGCTAGCGCCATTGTCACGTGGTGAAAAATGTTCGAGATTCGTGCGATTAATTCTTACTCCTTAATTTCTTAATAAAATAAATTTGGTCGTTAATGATAACTTAATCGGTTCATCGACATTCTTTGATTCCCTATGAGATCTGTCCAGTTAGACGTTCGTTGTGAATGCGTACGTTAATCTAGATTCGATATTGAATAGTATCATTATGTAATAGTCATTAATTAAAGAAAGTTAGTTGAGAACATAGCTCTTTTGAAATGAACTGTTCCACTTTGAGCCACTGCAGCTATCCAATAGAATTATAAAAGTAAACTTTTAAAATAAATTTTAAACACAAGATGTGAGAAACATTTTCCTTTATAAGATTGGTTATGTCTATTTTTCATCAATACCTATTGATATTGCAAAAGAATATTTGAACGTTAATTTTCCAAAATGACAGCACGAAAGAAGGCTCGCCATATTGGAAAACTTGAGGTTTTCAATAGAATATCAAACTGTAAGACATTCAAAAATTATCACTATTTTTTGAGAACATCTTTTTTTTGTGTATATTGTCTATATTGAAAGAAACATTTATTTTCCAGATCAATGGCAAGGATGTCGCGAATAAGGAGCAGACCGAAAATCTATTCGCCAAAACAAAAAAAGTAGTGACTATTCTCATCAGTCGATGTGTATATCAAGTTCGTTTTCATTCTTATTATTACAATGTTTAAATTTAACACAATTTAATAAACATAAAAATATTGTATTAGGTGTACAACTTTGCTTCCGCCGTTTTCCTATAGATGGTTTTAGCGGTAAGTGGTGGTCGAAATAAATAGACCAAAGACGTCATACAATAAACTTGGGCATCTGTCAACATAACCCCATAGAAACATTAGTCGATTTGTGCCTGCATCATAAAGTTATTCTCGATTGAAAATGTCAGTTTACGAGCCAAATTCATTTGCGGGAGGTTTTAATTTTTTGCTTCAATATGAAGAAATCTACGGCTGAGGCTCATCGAATGCTCTCAAATACTTATGGTGAGGCCGCTATTAGAGAAAGAACGTGTCGTGAGTGGTTTCAACGCTTCAAGAACGATGATTTTGCCGTCCAAGGTCATGCTCTGTATTTGGTGGGACCAGCTCGGCGTAGTATATTATGAACTGTTAAAACCGACTAAAACAATCACAGGCGATCGGTATCGAACGCAATTGATGCGTTTGAAAGACAAACGGCCGCAATACAACAAGAGACACGATAAAGTGATTTTGCAGCATGACAATGTTCGACCCCATGTGGGTCGAACATTGTCATGCTGCAAAATCGATTGCGAAAGTGGTCAAGACATACTTGAAAACGTTGAAATGGGAAGTCCTACCCCACCCATCGTATTCTCCAGACGTTGCTCCCTCTAACTATCACTTGTTTCGATCAATGGGCCTTGCTGACCAGCACTTCCGGTCTTATGAAGAAGTAAAAAATTGGATCGATTCGTTGATAGCCTCAAAAGATGACCAGTTTTTTCGACGCGGGATTCGTACGCTACCCGAAAGATGGGAGAAAGTAGTGGCCAGCAATACTTTGAATCATAAATGTATAACAGTTTTTTACAATAAAGCCTCGAATTTCGGAAAAAAAACGGCGGAAGCAAAGTTGTACATCTAATATATGAAATAGAAAATACAAAGAAAATATTACAGAGATTTAAAAACATTTCAAAACATTATGTTTCCTTTTTGAGTAAAAGATTTAACTTTTGTGTAATATAGATTACGATACTTCCAAAAAATAATTATACTTTTCTTACATAAATAAAAGAACAAAAATATGGCTTTTTTTATACATTATTAATTTACTTCTCTTATTTTAGGACGATGCATACGATGATAGACGTATCTATCATCAGGTGAGTCGAATTATTATACATAAAGCAATAAAAAAGCAATCGATTTTTGCGCATGGTATAGACATCTATTTATCATGAATCATGATTCTATTTCAGGGTTCGCCATCGCTTTCGCTTCAAAACCTGCCAGCATATCAGAATAGTATGATCGAGCAACTGATCCAGCAACAGCAACAACAAACAGAGGAACGTACTAAAAACAACGAGATAGACAACTACACCCTAAAAGTGCCTCCACTAGCTCACACTCAGCAGCAATCGCCGTTATCGCAACAACAACAATCTGTTAACAACTTTTCTACAAATTTATCGTCTACGTGCTCATTGCAGAGCTTACACAAATCCGCCGGCAAGAACACGATCTTGTCAGAGCATCGTACAAAAGAATGCAATAAGCAATGGTCGCTGAAGGATTGTTTAAAGAGACTCGAGAATATATCCCTGTGTGATCAGCAATCGAGTCCACTAGAGGCAACACCGCTATCAGTGAAGCTCATTGAGGCGTACTCGAGTCATGTGTGGAGTGATTCCGAGCACATCTATGAAACAATACCAGAATCAGATAGCGAGCCAATCTATTCATCGCCATACGAGCACCATCAACAACATTGGCCGCAGTATAACGGAACTATGCAGAACTATTTGAGCAACCAACAGAATCAGAAATGGCATTTCTCCTCAAAGAGCAATAGCTCCGGCGAAGAAAAAGATAGTTCAAGCGCTTACAACACCGGCGAATCCTGTCACAGTAATCCTTTAACTTTGCAGCTGCATGAGAGTGAGAAGGATCATTATAAGAGCACATTGATATTATGCTCGTCGAAGACGCCACAGCAGCAGAAGATCGGTTGCAATTGTCCCCTGCTAGTAACACCAACCGCAACGTCAGCAGTGACAAAGCAATCATCGAAAAACATAAAGAACCAAAACATAAAAAAGAGCTTATCGTCATCGCATCATCACAGAGATCGCAACGAAATTTCATCGATGAACATCAACACTATGGCAGCCGATACTATGTACACGAATGTGGCAAATTTACAACAAACAATGATGCTGCAACAGCAACTATTCAAACAAGCACTCAACCGCAAAAACCTCATGACATCTAAAGAAATGTTCACATGCAGTATGAAGAAACCCAAGTCGTATGGTAATTTTCAAGCACCAAATCTCGCACAATACCAGTTCGTTGGTAGTCAACAAGTATGCACGTCTACTACTTGGATACCAACAGAAGACAAAAGCGAGGTGCAAATGGAATGGAAAGTGAAGAGAAGAGCGGACGGAACGAGGTACATTGCCAGACGGCCAGTTAGGAATCGGATACTTCGGAACAGAGCAATCAAGATAACAGAAGAAAGAGCTGGTCACATCATCGAAGATGATGCTATGTCAGAAATGAAGGTAAATATTAATTGATAATAATCGATTTGAGTCTTTTTCCGAGCCAAATTTTTTGGAAATAGTAGACTTTTATTTCTTCAAATTTCACATGTTTAAAATATAATCGGTACAAAAATCTTTAAGTACCATACTGAGAGAGAGAAAAAAAAGCTGGATGTATTAGGAGTGTGATTTAGTTTTAAGGATTTTTTTCTTAAAAATGATTCATTTAAACAACATATCACATAAACGTTTAATAATTGTTATACGACAATCAACATTTAATTTTCTAGTTCTACAGTGCTGGATTTTCATTCAATAATACTTGCAAATCTGGATTTTCCAATTTTTGTCGTTAATATTGAAAGTACTTCGACAGAACCAATATACATATCTTAATTGATGAAGCAATCATCATAAATTTCTATTAGAATTCTATGATCTTCATCCTCCTTCTTCTAATTAAAAAACAAACGCATGTCGAAAATGCTCTTTAGGAAGATCCATTTTTTAAATGTATAAACACGACGTTTACTGCGTCAATTGTTAGTAAACAACTAAATATCATGGAGTAATATTAAAGTATTAATTATATAAGAATAACTGTGATTGGAATGTTTTCAATAGCACTGACATTAATGCCATCTCTTAGAAAATCCACAAAACTAAATCACACTCCTAATAATATCACTGAATAAAATATAAAAAAAAGCAGATAATTTGTAAATAGAGTAGTTTGTCCGTAACACAAAACTATTTTTTGTTTGTGCGGAATCACTGTTGATATATAATAATATCTTTTCTTTTTCAAATACATTAGAACTACTTGGAAGCTTGGAAGCTACTTTGTCAAAAGCCAAAATTAAATGAATGATATTTTTTAAAACTAACAATTTCTTTATTTATATTTTGTTTTTAATTGTATAAAACAGTGTACATTCCTTTATGTATAATATATATATCATAAAAATATTTGACAAGTCTTAGGTTTAACACAATGTTATTATTATTGTTACTGTTGTTATATAAAAGCTCTTATTTCAATAGTTGCTGCTATACTGACATTATGTTGATGGATTATATTGTATTTGCCTTTCACCCTATCTTGTTCAACGCAATATGAAATGAATACCTACGGAGCGTATATAGACGTATATACATAGACATTTTGAAAATACATAGATATTTGAAAAATGATTTTTCAGAACATAACTATAATATACATCATTGTTTTCAGTGTAAAATTCTCTTTTCGTTATATAAAAGTTAAGAAATTTTTGTTTAAATAGGGTGGGGAATAAAATAAATAATTAAAAAAAAATTTAATTAGTTGTAAAGTACTCATGAAATCATTCAATTTTCATTCTGAAAATTTTTTTCTATCTCTTTCGACGATATTCGCTTCGCTTAAAGAAAAAAACCATTTTTTTTAAAGGGGTATTTCCCCTAAACTTATAATTCCGCACGAACAAAAAATAGTTTTATATTACGGATGAACTACTCTACTTGCACACAGTTTCATTTTTTGAATTTTTGAGTTGTCTAATGTCCATTGTCAGTGCACATTAGAGCCATCGTACATAATTTGATGTAAAGATATACATAATAATAAATGTCTTTGTGAAGATAAACATTTATGTCTATCTTCTAAGTTGAGACACCTCAACTTTAAAAATTGGAAATTTCAATAACAGTACTACTTACACACGCAATAGTTCTACAGTTCCTATATATAGATAGGTTTTATAAATAGTTCCGTTTTAGGCCAAAAATTTTAAAAAACAAAAATATGCAGTATTAACTTCACGTAGCATCGCAAGATTCGAAAAGTCAATTTCTTTGACGAAATCTTAAAGTACTCGAAGAGTACTAAAATTCCTGATCGATTATAACAATAGTTCCGGCCATTAAATATTTTAAAATAAATTTTAAAAATAAGAGCTAGCAACTCAAGTCAAAAAAAAATTAATTTTTTTTGCATTCGATTTTTGTATTCGAAAAATTACACAGTTCCTGACAAATTTTATTGACCCTATCGGAAATTTTAATATGTTTAAACAATATTTAATCCTTGACACCTCACGTCAAGAGTAAAATATCTCTAAACTAGTACTCTAAGCTAGTACTGGCTGACTTTTCGGTTTCTTCCGATAGTACTACAAAAGTTCCGAAGATTTATGCTGGTTTCAACAACAGTATTCACCCTTAAATATTCAAATCCATCTCTGTTAAATGATCGAAATGATCTGAGAAAAATCATCTCAATAAATCATCAAGAATATTACACAAAAACATTATATAAAAAATTATAACTTTTTTAAGCAAAAAAATTCGTTTCTCAAACATTATCATGATTAATATTCTTTTTAAATGTTAAAATTAAATTTTCATTACAACGTAATTGTTTCATTTTCTTAAAGGATGAAATTAAATTATGTAATTTTTTAATATAGTTGAATTAATCCTATTAATTGGATAACATTTCAAATATGGTTCGTGTATTATTTTAAACCAGAGTAATCATCGTGTGTCTTTTTTGAAGCGTGACCATGAAGTGTTAAACAATTTTATTCTGTGTATTGTTATCGCATCACAAAAGTACCTCACATATCAAGTTTTCACAAAAATTTCGTTTGTGCCGCCAGCATTTGCGTAACCTGAAGTATACCGCGAGGTGGTTGCACGATCGGATTTGAACCCCATGTGTACGTGTGCGTGTGTGAGTGAGTATGTGCGTTGTATGTATCTTCTCATGCGCGCGTGCGTGTGTGGATAGAATTAATGCATTACTTCTATTTGTATTAGCATATGTATAATATTTCTTAACACAATATATGTATAATATATGTTATATAATATATACATAATTATCGGATGTTGAAATAAAATATCATAGTTTAAAATGTGTGAAGTCACATCTTGATTGGGGTTATTAATACGTTTCTTTTTCAGATCATCGTATTCGTGGTAATGGATGTCTGTATATGCTAAGGCTGTGTAATGTCTGCTGAAATCGTTATGTTGTGTATAGTTCACTAATCCTGTCAGAATATAATATATAAGCTTAAATCCACTGTTTGCTCATAGGTGGCATTAGTGAGATACAAAGCTACCCTGGGCACACAACATACTTTTTTTATGTGTTTGATATCTGTCAACATTAACCAGTGCACATCATCAGCAATTTCATACAACAACATACATTTTTTCTTTCGTAAACATGTCTAGTTTTTTGCTAAAAAAAAAAGCGGGAAGCTTTGCTTTCCTGTTTCAATTTGAAGAAATCGGCTGCCGAATCGCATTGAATACTTGTGAAGGCCTATGGCGACAATGCTTTATCGGAAACAACGTGCAGAGATTGGTTTCGCCGGTTTAATGACGACAATTTTAACCTGAGTGACAAGAAGCGTGAAAATCGGCCCAGGAAGGTTGAGGACTGTCAATTGCAGGCTCTTTTGGATGAGGACGATACCCAATCGCAAAAAATGTTTTCCGAGCAATTGGATGTTTCTCAAGCAGCCATTTCCATGCGGCTACATGCCATGGGGAAGGTTCAAAAGATCGGAAAATGGATACCGCATGAACTGAACGATAGGCAGATGGAACGACGCCAAAACATATGCCAAATTCTGCTTGCCAGACAAAAAAGAAAGTCGTTCCTGCATCGAATTGTGACAGGCGATGAAAAGTGGATCTATTTTCAGAATCCTAAACGCAAGAAATCATGGGTTGATCTCGCCCAACTATCAACATCTTCCTCAAAACCAAATCGCTTCGGACGGAAGACGATACTGCGCGTTTGGTGGGATCAGGAGGGTGTCATTTACTACGAGCTGTTAAAACCTGGTGAAACTGTTAATGCTCACCGCTACCACCAACAACTGATCAAATTGCACCGTGCTCTGCGTGAAAAAAGGCTGCATTATCAGAAAAGACATAACAATCTGATTTTCCTCCACGACAACGCACCATCGCACACGTCAACAATGGTCCAAAACTACTTGGAGACACTCAACTGGGAAGTGCTACCCTATCCCGTTTACTCACCAGACCTGGCACCTTCTGACTATCACTTGTTTTCGTCGATGGGCCACGCACTCGCTGAGCGGCACTTCGATTCTTACGAAGACGTCCGAAAATGACTTGATGAGTAGTTTGCCTCGAAAGATGAGGAATTTTTTTGGCGCGGTATACACAAATTGCCCGAAAGATGGGAAAAATGTATAGTTAGCGAGGGCAAGTACTTTGAATAAATTTGTTTTTGCTTCCTAGGAAAAAGAAATATGTTTTTCTGACTAAAAAACAGCGGATTTAACACCTGATATATTATTTAATGTTACAGTTTTTGCAATGGAAATCAAACTGTGTTTCATGTTCTGTTGAATATATGTTTTATCTGTAAATATAGATGTGTTTATTATTATATGCTTGTCGCAAGTTACAATAGTTTCCGTTAGTGCACCACATGTATAACATTTACATGATATATTAGGTGTACAACTTTGCTTCCGCCGTTTTTTTCCGAAATTCGAGGCTTTATTGTAAAAAACTGATTATACATTTATGATTCAAAGTATTGTCCATTGCTGGCCACTACTTTCTCCCATCTTTCGGGTAGCGTACGAATCCCGCGTCGAAAAAACTGATCATCTTTTGAGGCTATCCACGAATCGATCCAATTTTTTACTTCTTCATAAGACCGGAAGTGCTGGTCAGCCAGGCTGTGTGCCATTCGAAACAAGTGATAGTCAGAGGGAGCAACGTCTGGAGAATACGGCGGGTGGGGTAGGACTTCCCATTTCAACGTTTCCAAGTATGTCTTGACCACTTTCGCAACATGGGATCGAGCATTGTCATGCTGCAAAATCACTTTATCGTGTCTCTCGTTGTATTGCGGCCGTTTGTCTTTCAAGGCTCAAACGCATCAATTGCGTTCGATACTGATCGCCTGTAATTGTTTTAGTCGGTTTTAACAGTTCATAATACACTACGCCGAGCTGGTCCCTCCAAATACAGAGCAT